AGGCGTACGTAAAACAGAGGGTTCGTATAACTGGGGTACGTAAAAACGAGGTTCTACTGTATAACAAAAAATGATTGTTTTTATGTAAAAAAATGAAAAATCTCGAAAGTTTTTCAGTGAAAATGCGGCGGTCGCGACAACATTTCTATGAATTTACAAACAGCGGCTAAATTGACAAGGCCACTCTGATCGTCGTCTCGTCACTCGTGCCCCACACATGGTTTGGTTTTTTTTTGTTGACTTGACCGGTCTCTTGTTTTTTTTTGTGACGCAAGGATGGTAGTAAATGGAGGAATAAGTTTCTTATTCTTCAACTACTGTATAATCGTCAAATTACCAATATGGTGGTTTAAACGTGCATACTTGCCAATTGTCCTGATTTCCAATGTCAAAAACACCACAAAATGCGAAGTTGGGTGTAAAGTCGGGGGTGGGATTTATACCCGGGGAACTACGGTAATATTTCATAGCAGTAGTGACTGAGAGAGTTTTCTCTATTGTTATGTCTCCGATGAGATCAGTGAAACAAGCAACATACCGTGCCCTTCATGGTAAAGTCTGTAGGCCTACTGATTAAAATGTAACTTAAATATTTGTGTTGGTTGTGAGGTAAATAAACAGTACATTTGAAATTCAGTAACTATTGTTTTATTTAGAGCAGTACAGGGTACAGTAATTATGATATATAATTACCATCTTACAATTGTTTAGGGTGGGGTGGCGGGGACGTGGCACCAATGAATAGTGTCCCTATTTTTGATATTCAAATATTGGCAGGTAAGACCGTGTGGGCCAAGGATGTCTACCTATACCAACATTGACAACAAGGCATCAAATTTTCATCACTATTTAGTACCAACTTTACATATGGTATTGTAGTAAGATTTGATATTTCCACTTATTTAGGATAATATTTTCCACATTTTCCCCTCTGCAGAACAATAATTCATAACAACTAAATTATTAAATGAGAAATATTCAGTGCATAGCGAACCAGATGTGTACTGTTTTATAATTTTATACTAATGTTTTCTAATGTAGAGATGACGCTCCCGTAGCTGCCCCAGCAGCAGCTGGCGGCCCTATGGATGTCAACACGGCTCTACAAGAAGTCTTGAAAACTGCTCTCATTCATGATGGACTTGCCAGAGGTCTACATGAAGCTGCCAAAGCACTTGACAAGTAAGTTTCTAAGACACTACCTGCAGTTGTTTGACTCTGAAAGATCCTGTGATGATTGGCGCAAGCTCCCTCTTCTTATGATCGGTGCTGAGTACTTGCCACTCTCTCCAAACGAAGTCTGAGGATTTTCACAATGTTAAACTGCATCTTGAATTGCCACAGCATGGCAATTGTTTGCCAACCTAGACCAAGATTTCTTTGCTTCAAAAACTGCTTGGAAAGTCAATACTTTAAAACATGCTACAGCAGAAATTAAATATCACGTACATCATCAAACCGAGGAAATTGGTTGTTTATAAAACATTTGTTTGTACAGTACAATAATTATTTTTAATACGCATACATACAATGTGTGTGCAATCGTCTTGTCTTTCTCGCCCAGGTAGGCCTAGTCGTTTTGTACAGCTAGGTAAGAGTGACGCTAGCCAGCCAAGGCCTAAAACACTGTCAAATTGCAGCCACATGGACTGCGTAGATGATTATCTAAATCTATTGTTTGTTTTTATTTTAAAGTATTATCATATTTAAAATGTTGTTTATTATCTAAAAACAACCAAATTAAATATATCGTAGGCTTAATTCTACCGTCTGTTTAAACAAAATCATGATCGCAATCGTGACTTCACTAATTCAAGTACATGTGTACATACTGTATGTGGAAAATTCCAGATACATCTTTCTGGGCATGCGCATTGACATGCATGGGCAGTTTTGAACCAAAGGCAGCCTGTAAGGATGATACGATAGTAGCTTTTATGAAATTGATATTTCATATGCTGAAGATAACACTAAAATGAAAAATAAAACGATATTTCTTCAGCGATTTTCATATGCAAAACATATATATTATACTACACTGTTAAAATAATACAAGTACAGCCATTCTTTCACCAACAATATATTGATTTAATAGAGATGATTAACAAAATCACGATCTGTAGATGACAATGTAAAGTCGAGTGTTCGGAAAAATTATAGTTTATAGGCCTACTATAGGTAGTAAGAAATTGCAGAGACTGCCAAGAATTTAAGGTCGGCAAATTTTTGCTGACCTAATTTTTCCAAATTTCATGGGCTGGCTGAATTTAGATCAAATATTTTTTTTGTATTGTAGTGTTGTAGCTGTAGAAAACTGAGGGTGGCTGGGTGACAACATTTGTAAACTCTTTGTAAAGAGTAGATGTATTCCATAGTTCATTAAATTATATACTGTATCATAATTAAGCTGAATGTCTAGTATAATCAAACATTTTTTTGGAATTGTATGTTATGCATAGTGCAGTAAATACTGTTTTTATCATATTATGCTGATCATATGTTGATTTTTACTGTAGGCGTCAAGCCCATCTGTGCGTTTTGGCCAGCAACTGTGATGAACCTCAGTACAAGAAGCTTGTTGAGGCTCTCTGCGCAGAGCACAACATTGATCTTTTGAAGGTAGATAGTCCAACCATAATAAATATGTTTAGTTTTTTTGTACCTAGTATAATATCAGGGCTTGTGATTTTAGGTGAGTGATTGCACTCCCACACCATCACACATTAAAACTTTTTTGAAAACTAACACCACAACTGCAGTAGTAGTGTCACTCACATAAACAAATTAAGGCTGAGTACATAAACAAATTGAGAGCTGAGTACTTGCCAGCCATTTTCAAATAACAAACCCTGGGATATTGAAAATTAAAATCTTTAGTCAGAGATAAAACATGCAAACCACAAAGAAGAAAAAAGAAACCACCCTGTATTTCTTTGTTGGGCCTACTAAACATGTTTCAATATAAATGTATTATTGTAGTTAATCTATGAGGTGCCTATAAAAACAAACCTCTATGTAAGATGCATACACAAGTTCTGAGGTGTAAGAGCTCAACTCTTTGACAGTTACACTGTTCTAAGTTTCTAGGTTTGATTCAAAACATTAATCTTTCTGATATTCATTCAACTACATTACAATAAACAATTCAACACTGAAATTGCAATATTACTCAATATAATTAAATCTTTTTAGTTTTTCAAAAAATCTTTCTAACAATCCTAGGATGGCAGGTTTTCAGTTTTTATGTTAATAATCTTTATGTTTATCCTAAAATAAAATTTGAAATGAATTTTAATCGTTTAATCTAGCAAGCCACTATGGATGCTAATATGCTTATGTAGAATTTCAGAAAAATTGATTAAGGAATGTAAATACGTATGCATTTGTCTTGGAAAAATCCTGTGATGATTGGCGCAAGCTCCCTCTTCTTATGATCAGTGCTGAGTACTTGCCACTCTCTCCAAACGAAGTCTGAGGATGTTCACAAGTTCACAAATGCACCCTCTATAGTTAGTTAATGTGGACTACCTTCTACAGTCATGTCAGTAGATGCCTTTTTCTATTGAACCTGCCCTGATGGACAAATGATAATTTATTTAGGGATATTACTGTATGCTTTGTAAGCTGATTGGGAATATGTTTTATTTATTTGTTTTTATACGTTAATTAAAATTTTTTTTTAATGGGTAGGTTGATGATAACAAGATGCTTGGTGAGTGGGCTGGTTTGTGCAAGATTGACCGCGAGGGTAAAGCAAGAAAAGTGGTTGCCTGTAGCTGTGTCGTTGTCAAGGTTAGTTGTATTACTGTAACCTCAGTCCAAGTTAAATACAACACCCCTGACATACACAACTTAATTTGAGAAGGATTTTTATCTACAGTACAACTCATTTGCAACTCCAAGAAATACAGTGTTGAATAATAATTAGACATTTATTAGTGTGTACGCTGTGCTATTAGTCGTTTTGTCATCACGAATAATGTAATGTTGTTAAATGTTATTTTCATGTGAATGACGATAGTTAAGTTTTGGTTTGGGTCCTTTTCCAACAGGGCCATTTTTAAAGTAAACTTTTTTCACCCTGTCACTTGCTGTACCCCTCAAGTTAAGTTTAGTATTTAATTTGGAATTGAATAAATAAATTAAAAACCTGTTACTTCACCCCAATAAATTTCTTCTGTTTACTTATTCAAACAAGGGAGTGGCCCTGCGGGGTGGAGAAGGAGTGACCATGAGCATTGGTAGTGGATACTGGTGCTGTCTATTTTTGTTACTGCTGTATTATGTTACTACTTTTGTCAAGTGCATAGAGACTTCCTATAAATAAATATATATCTTATTATTACTTTATTGTATTATTATTATTATTCTTAACAGGACATCGGCAAGGAAACACCAGCCATGGACGTATTGACAGAATACTTCAAGAGCCAACATTAAACAGACAACCTATCATTTTAACTACAATAATAGTAAAGTAGTCTGTTGAATGTAATGTCACTGAATAAAGATTTCTTTTAAAGCCGTGAAATATTTAGAGAGTTATTTCATTTGCTTGTCACAAACTAAAAATTATTTGGCAAGATTATAAATAAATACTGTAGTATAGAAGTATCTTTGTGATGTCACAACACCCTTTTGCTAACTTAATCAAAATTTGAGATGAAGTACCTGTAATTAAGTTTAGCTTGCCACAATAGACCGAATTAGCGACGAAAGATGATGTCATCACAATTTGGCCGAGTGTGTATAAAATTGTAAACAAAGCCTAAAAGTCCTATTCTATAATGTTGCGAGTTTTTGTATGGTCCAGGAAAACAAGCAAAAAAACCCAAAGTACACAGGTAAAATACTTTTTAAAACATTGGTAGGTTAAGGAAGGTTCACAGAACCATCAGAAGACGTTTGATTTGATTTTCATGTAAAATTAAGTTAAATATACGTAGATTTTTTACAGGCTAGGCCTCGGCCCCTGACACTTGTTGCACAACAACGCGACATGGCTGGATGTGATGATTGAGTGAGGCCTGACTGTAAACGTTCAGCTCCGTGCTGTCGTCAAGTCTTTTACTTGTTTAAACATCCAATCTGCCAAAGTTATTGGTGTGAATTTAGGAACATTATTCAATAATTTTGAATAACTTAGCTCTCCTTGAAATCTGCAAGTACAACACATTTCATGAGTTTTGCAACAAGCACATTCATCGATTGATGCCATGATTCACTGTGAGTGAATACACGGCTGCCATCGTCGTGCTGTAACACAGGCAGACACGACCAATGTTCGTTTTATTCCCAAAATAGTACGATTTATTCTCGTTATATTTCACATTTGGCATACACAATCGTAGAGAAAAGATGACGTTGCATTCATAAACATGTAACAATGGTTTCTGTAAATTTAAATTACGCTCAACTTTACACACAGCGTGTATGAGACGTTTTAGTAAAGGCTATTTTCTTAAGTTACTGTGTAAATCGCCTGTCTTCGTGCGTTTATTTTGGTTTGAATACCCACTATAGCTGAACAGCGTCGATCGCTAATTCGGTCTATTGATGTGTCAACATTATAATATCTTGCACTTGCATGTGGGTGAAGTGAGCTGTCTGTTAAGAAAAAAAAACTAAATAGCTAATCAGAAGTGATAGCCCTAGGTTTCCAGAATTTTAGCTTTTAAGATAAAATGGGTCAGAGGGCTAAATTGAATTGTTGATTTAAAAGTGATCGACCATTTAAGGTTCATGGTTAGTAAAAGTGCATGTAAAGCATCCATGCTCTGCATTCATACCACTTACATGCTTGATTGTAAAGTAATTTCAAGAGTAGAGAATAGCAAAATATCCGACTCGTAGTTTCAAGTTCTCAAGTTCTCGAAAGCCCCGATGAGGGCAGTATAATAGAGGCAGTAGAGCATGTTGGTCCTAACAGCCGCCCATGCAAAAAAGATCTACAGTATTAATCAATCAGATGAGTGTTTCTAGAGCTCATGGGAACTAAGTACAGTACAGTACTACCATGAAGTAGTGGGCTCACTTCAAGAGAACATTAAAGTACTCGACTTTGAGGTACTGTACTATAATAGGGTGCTACCTACCCTGGGGTAGTACTTTTTGTCGTTTCAGTGCGTGAATGTAAAAATCTTGGAAGTCAGACCTCTTGCTATACCCTTCCCTGTCCTTTTCATTTTCCTACATGCAAAATTAGGACAGTCCGATCTCTTGCAGTTCTACTGTACAATAATAATTCATATTTATAAAGCGCCTGTTAAGCAAATACTTTAATACTCTTTGGTAACTGAAAATATAAGGTGTTAATGGGGGCTGCATATGAAAGTGGTTGTCATTATGTATACATGAATTTTTAATTTATTTAATGTCATTTCCGGCCACTTGGACAACATGGCGGTCATAGCAGGTGTCAGAAACTTGGCACATGCCTTTTTAAAATCTACACATAAAGATATTCTATGCAAAGTTTCACGCTTTATATTTGGTCATTAGCTGCTTTACTAATGGGAGTTTTTTTATATTCATCAGGGCCGGCGGAACGTTTTTCAAAGTGGGGGGGGCCCACTTATAAGATGAATGGGAATATGAATCATGCAGATCTGTAAAAACCTAGGGGATGGGGGTCAACATTTTTCCCAAAAAGGAAAGGGGATCCGAGGGTCCTCCCCGGGGAAAATTTTGATTTCTAGATGGCGGGAAATGACCTTTTTCGACTTTTAAGCTAGGTTTCTAATGACTGTGTTCCTGTCTCTTATACACATCTAGATGTGTATAAGAGACAGCATGTAAAGCATTCATGCTCTNNNTGTTGATTCTTAGAAGGCGGGAAATGAGTTTTCCCGACTTCCGAGGTGTCTTTTAATTAATTTTAAGTTCTTTAAAATTCAAGGTTTCCCCCTCTTGAAAACGGTCAGGTAAATTTATCCCATTGTTATTACAGTAGATAGGCCTTATGTGTGTATACATACATTAAAAAAAAAAAATTAGTAGTTGCATACGATTTTTTCCATGAATCCATAAATCCCAAAAAGAAAGGGGTGTCCGGGGGTTCTCCCCCGGAAAAATTTTGATTCTTAGAAGGCGGGAAATGAGTTTTCCCGACTTCTGAGGTGTCTTAATTACTTTTAAGTTCTTTAAAATTCAAGGTTTCCCCTCTTGAAAACGGTCAGGTAAATTTATCCTATTGTTATTACAGTACATAGGCCTTATGTGTGTATACATACATTAAAAAAAATGAGTAGTTGCATACGATTTTTTTTTCCATGAATCCATAAATCCTAAAAAGGGAAGGGGGTCTGGGGTTTCTCCACAGGGAAAATTTTGATTCCTAGAAGGCGGGAAATGAGCTTTCCCGACTTCTGAGGTGTCTTTTAACTACTTTAAGTTCTTCAAAAGTCAAGGTTTTCCCCTCTTCAAAATTATTATAATGAATCAATGAACCCAAAGAGAAAAGGGATGTTCGGGTTCTTCCCGGGAAAAAGTTAATTTCTAAATGGTGGGAAATGAGCTTTCCCGACTTCTGAAGTACCGTATCTTATAGCGATTTTAATTTAAGTTCTTCAAAACAGTCAGGTATTTTTTCCCAATCCCAAAAAGAAAGGGGGTCGGGGGTTCTCCCCCGGGAAAATTTGTATTCCTAGAAGCGGGAAATGAGCTTTCCCGACTTATGAGGTGTCTTTTAATTACTTTTAATTTCTCCAAAAATCAAGGTTTACCCCCCTCTTGAAAATGATTCAATAGAACCAATGAACCCCAAAGAAAAAAGGGGTCCGAGTTCCCCCGGGAAAATTTCGATTTCTAGAATTCGGGAAATGACCTTCACTGACTTCTGAAATGTCTTTTTAAGTTCTTCAAAAGGTTTTCCCCTCTTGAAAATGGTCAGGTAAATTTTTCTCATTTTTTATTTTATGTGTGTATACATAGGCCTACATAAATAAATGAGTAGTTGCATGCGTATTCTTTTTTTCCATGAATCGATAAATCCCAAAAAGAAAGGGTGTTCCGGGGGTTCTCCCCCGGGAAAATTTTAATTCGTAGAAAGCGGGAATGAGCTTTCCCGACATTTGAAGTGTGTTTTAATGACTTTTATGTTCTTCAAAATTTTAATTTTCTGTAATAATTAATTGTAACATAAAAAAGAAAAAAAAAATCAGCTCACGGTTCCTGAAAAGGTAGGTCTAGAATTTTTTTTCCGGTCACACAAAAATCTCCAGACATCATTTTTTGCAAAAAAAGTGGGGGGGCCCGGGCCCCCACGGCCCCCCCCCCCGGTTCCGCCGGCCATGTTCATTTCTAAGGTTAGATTATAGAAAAAAAAATACCTATTCGCAAGTTACTTCAAAATTGATTTCCTTTTTGAATTTGTATTTTTCTAATATTCAGGGAATAGTTTATGAGTTAACGCTGTTTGGTGCAGCGAGAACGGTTTGGTTTTCCAACCCCGAGGTCTGGGTTTCAATCCCTCGCTGTGAATTTCACTTGTGTCTTTGAGCAAGACACTTTTTCAGGGGTGTATCCATGATTTTTTCTGGGTGGGTCGTGATCATAATTTTTGGACCTTTTTAGTGGGAGACAGCAAAATCTATTACAGCGCCACCAGCTTGATGCGGACGACAGACTCAGTTTCAGAATTGCTAGAATTGAGATAGATAGCGTCACGCAAATTGGCAAGGTCTTTGAACTCATTGCTGGTACCTCATCCATGCTTTTTCATTTATGTCATTGTGAAAAGGCTCTAGGAAAAAACGTCTGAAAAAAATGTGGACCTTTTTTGGACATTTGAAGGGGGGGGGGCCTTCGTACGACCTTCCTGACCCCCACCCCCTACATACACCCATGTTTATCTACGTTACTTCTCTCCACTCGTGGGTACCTGGTGGGGTTGGCTGCTACTACTGCGCCAATATGGCAGCAACACTTAAGCAATTGAAACCAATGACCAGGCAAAAACTTGCAGCACTTCGTATCTGTAAAGAAAGGCGCTATATAAATGACTAGATTAATAATTAATTAATTACAGTAATACAGTAATTAATTAATTACAGTAATAATTTAAGAAATAATTACGGAGTTTAAATTGAACTTTCCAACACTTCAAAAATTATAAAAACCAGGCCTATTTTAGAGTTTTTATAAGTCTTTGGAACTTTTAGCATAGACAAATTAAATGATTATTAGTAGCGTCCCGTACCCACGAAATAATTATGAATTAGTTATGAATTATTTCATTTTATTTGGTACCTTTCCACTTAAAATGTCCCTTTCACTCAAATGGCTGTCTGTCGTGAAAGATACGTTAACAAATGTCATAACAACGAATCTATTTATAATGTATATATTTTTATACTAAATTGTAGGCCTACTTTGCTAATGTAATAATTATGTTAACGAATTTCCTAATTCTGTTTACGCATAGGACATTTTGATAATGATGACAGACAGTTTATTTATTAATAATTATTGTTGCTTCACTTGTTGATGATACAGTATTTATACACAGTCCAGGCTGACTGACGTAGTGTA